CCTAGCTGCTGTGCTTCAGGACAGCTGCGCTCTCGGAGCCGTCTGATGAGCTCCAGACGGGCCAGGTATGGCCCTCTCAGATGCTTGGACTCCTTCGCTTCTTCTGTGGCTATTCGGTCCTCCATGAAGCTGATGGCCTGAGCTGTGGAGGCATGCACCTCCCCCTCTGCAGAACTGCAGTAGTGAGAGAAACAACACGGCATGCATGATACTGAGAGACAGAAATGTGTTCAGAATAGATTTGCCATACTTTTTAGTATGCAAACTGTGCTCAATATGCATGGAATATCCAATCACCTACAGCCAGTATTCAACGCAGTGCACCTGACTTTCCATCTCATGTGTGACAAACTCTTTCCCAGTTAAATATTGTGAATTTTCTACTTACTGAGCTCCTTCTTGCGGAGGTGCCCAGCTCTGATCAATAAGGTAGAACAAAGAGTCAAAGTACAATATGTAGAACTGCCAGTCGTCAGGGCTGCGGAGAGAAACAAAAAACGACTAACATCTTACGTACTGAAAATGCATTGCTAAAATGGAACTATTTCACTCCAAAATTGCTATTTATGTTAAATCCGTTCGCGAAACTGATAGAAAACGTATCAGTGGTGGACTCACTTTTTCAGGAGCAGCTTGCAGGACAGCGCGTTGCACTCGGCCCAACGCTCCAGACGGCGGTACAGCATCATGCATTTGTTCTCACGGCTCTGCAGTTCACTGGTCAGCTTCTCTGAGGGAGAAAACACAAGGCAAAATGACTAAGAGACATTAAATGTATAGACAAAAAAATCAAATGGTTGCACATTCTTTGCGATACAAACATTAAATGCAATGTCAATGGTAGACGCACATAGAATTTATAATGTTTTGGAAAGAAGTCTCTTATGCTCATCAAAGCTGCATTTATTTGATTAGAAATACAGTAAAAAAATTATGAAATATTATTACAATTTAAAATAACTCTTTTGCATTTTATTATATTTTAAAATGTAATTTATTCCTGTGATCAAAGCTGAATTTTCAGCATCATTACTGCAGTCTTCAGTGTCATATGATCCTTCAGAAATAATTCTAATGTGCTGATTTGCTGCTCAAGAAACATTTCTTATTATCAATGCCGAGAACATTAATATTTTTGTGGAAACAGTGATACATTTTTTCAGGAAGTTCAAAAGAACAGCATTTATTTGAAATAGAAATCTTTTGTAACATTATAAATGTCTTTACTGTCACATCTGATCAATTTAATATGTCCCTGCTGATTAAAATATTAATGTCTTGCAAAAAAAAAAATTATTGACCACAAATTTTTGAATGGTAATGTATATTCAGTTATTTGACCGCAGGTTACTTTATACCAAAAAGAGTATACCAAATAGAGTAAGAGACCGTTTTTTCCTTCCGAGTTTATGTATCAAATAAAAAAGGTAACTGACTTTCTCTCTCTCAAATTATGAGTTTATATCTTGCAATTCAAAAACAAGTCAGAATTGTGAGAGAAAAAGTCACAATTACCTACACATTTTTATTTTTTTTATCCTGTATTGGACACAAGCTTTCATAATAACATGCTCTTTATATGGAGACAAATCCCCATGAGTTGGTAATTGCTGTTCTTTTTTACCTGTAACTGGCAGCACGTCACACATGCAACACAAAGACATTCAACTGGAAATAACCCAGAATATTCCTTTGAAGAACACACATTGTTTTCTCCTCACCTCCAAGTGGCCCCTGAACCACCTCCAGTGCCTCCACATATTTCCCCAAACGCTCCAAGATCATAAAGTACAGCTGGACCTGGAACGGTCGATGGAAAATGCATCATAAACTTCATACGGCTGAAATCAGAAACAGATTATTGATACCAAAGTCCTACCTCAGCTTCTGCCTCTATTTTCTCCTCCTTTACCATTTTTTCCACCATCCGCTCAGCCAGCGGCAGGAACATGGTCTGAGAGAGCTTCTCGTCTTGTGCTGAGATGGCCTGAAACACAAATTGCATTGATGATGTTGTTTTATTTTGTTCTGCATGGGTTCATCTCTGATATGTACTGTTTATGTAAGTGAAAAAACATCACCGTACCTGCATCACCAAGCTCATCACTGACCAGAAGTAATATGGGTTTTTGGGGACAATTTTATACAGCGCCATTCCAGCCTGTCAGAATTGTGGACACAAACATATATTTTAGAGATTCATGATTAACTATGCAGCCCTATTAAAACTACAATCTCTATATGGCTTAATGCAATTATCAAATCTCAAAGTTTGGCTCGCTTATGATGTGCATTTGGGAACAACCAACTTCCTAAAATTGAAATGCAAATTTAAATGGCTGTTGTCAACAAAAAGAGAAGCTTTAAAGGCCTGTGGTTTACCAGCAAAATAAAAGCTAGATGGTTTAACATTTGCAAATGCAGAAATGAAGGCGGCAAAAAATATTAATACTTCAACTTAAAAACAAAATAATAAATTTTTCCATAAATACTAGATATATAATTATACTTTAGAGTGGATATTGATATTTATTTGGTTTAATATTTTTGTAATAATAATAATAATAATAAGGGCTCCCTGTGCTTTTCCACCAAAATAAAAAACTCAATCATTTAATGTTTGAAAATGCATAAATTAAGAAAGCCATAAAAATTAGTACAGGAAAATAAAATATTACATAACATTATTTTAAATACTAGACTTTTTTATTTTACAGTGAATAATAAATAGTACTATAGTATTAGTAATAGTATTTCTAATTTTCTTTAATAATTTTGCAATAAAAAATAAATAAATAATAATAATAATAATAATGGCTCCCTCTGGTTTTACGCCAAAATAAAAGTTCAATTGTTTAATATTTGAAAATGCAGAAATTAAGACATGCATAAATATTAGTAATGGAAAATATTATTATTATAACAGTTTTTTAATACTAGATTTTTTTTATTTTAAAGGGAATAAGTAGTAATATTTCTTATTCCTATTTTGTTGATTTTTTAATAGTAATAAACAACAATAATAACAATGATAATTATTATTATTACTACTATTATTACAGTGATACTGATATACCATCTCAAATTTTTTTTGCTGAATTTTGCAGCTCTACAAACAACCACAGCAAACCTGGAGCTTTTTTTTTTTACTGAATTTTAAAATCACAATTTTTATCAAAAACAAAAATTTCCCCATATCATGCAGCCCTGATTTATTTTTTAAACAGGATGTAAAGACTGATGATATCAGAGAGGACACAAACAAAACCTGTTGCATTTTCTTGTACTCTCCGACCCGGGCGTAGGCCATGAAGAGGTGAGAGTGGTACTCCTCGCTCGTTGGAACTTTCCGGACTGCAGCTTCATAAAGCTTGGTCACTAACTTAATAATAATAATAATAGTATTATTGTTGTAAGCATTTTATTATTTCATTGTCATATTAATATATAAACATTACAATATAAAAATCATATTACTTGAGTGTTTTAATCTCTTTGACATCTCAAACAGGTAATGAGCCGGTTGATCAAATGACATTAACACAGATCTCTGGATATTTAAACAGTATTTCAGTGTTTAGATGGGCTACAAACAGGCTTTATTCTACCGATTGAAACGTCAGAGTGTGCCCGCTTAAGGACGCACTGTCATCCGGCAACGCAGCCGAACCGACACCGCGGCTTCAGCTCCAAAGGCCTCACCGGCTCTCCACAGCTCCTGCAGCCCTTTACTACACTCAATAACGCACATGCCGGTCCTATAGCACAAGTCAGACCCGCTAGGTCTGTATAAGCTCAGGCATGTGATGTGAATCTTACCGTAAATGGGTCGCAGTCTCCTGTCGTTGGGGTCTTGCACATGGCCCCTCGCCGCCATGATGGAGCTGAGCAGGATTAATTGGTGCGCATGCGCAGAGCGAGCACTCCGGAAAGACTTTAACAGGAGCATGGAGTCATGTGTGTCATTCAGTGTCACTGTAAAAGACACATCTGCAATTGTGCGGTGGTACGATCATGTTTTAAGACGTATATTTTTGCTCTAGCAAAAAAATTATGAAGTACTATGGTATTGTTTAAGCAGGGGTTTTCTAAATGGGGTCCGAGACCCCCATTGGGCAAAAAGGGAGTGCTAGGGGGTCTGTGGAAATATTTATTGAAAAACCGTGTAAAAACGTAAATAAATACAACCCTCTACATTGCGAGTAAATCACTCGCATATGCGGTATGTATGTGTATGTGTGTATGTATGTGTATATGTGTGTGTATATGTGTATGTGTGTGTGTGTATATATGTGTGTGTGTGTATGTGTGTATATATGTATATGTGTATGTATATATTTATCAGTCTGGCGAGTAAACAAAAAAATTTACTAGCCAATGGCGATTCAATTGCAAAGGTGTTCGTAGAGGGCTGAAATAGATAAATAAATAAAAATAAACAGACAAATAAAAATATTTTATTTATAAAACAATCTAATAGATTACAATAGACAAAAAAATAAATTGATTAAATAAAATTGTATTTAAAATAAAAATATTTAAAAAATAAAATTACATAAAATAAATAAAAATTGAGTAAAATAAATAAATAAAAATAGCTTAAAATAAGAAAATAAATGACTAAATAATAATAAATGAATAAAGTAATAAATGAATAAATATTGAATCTACCAGTACAGTTATTTGAGTAGAAAATTATTAATTATATAATAATTACATTTCTAAATAATATTGAGACTGATTTATAATATAATTTTTTTCACAGTAAAATTGGGTCTTTATGCAAGAAACATTTTTTTTGTCTTTTTGTATGTGGGCCAAATGAAATGACACACAATTGAGATTTTATTTATTTTTAATTTTTTTTGCTGTGTGCCTAACACTTTCTTTTCCATGTATTTTATAAATGCACTGTTGGTAACAGGAAATATATAGATCATATATTTATAGAAATAGATCATATATTTCAAAGAGAGCCTTGAAAACACTTACATTTCCAATAGAAATGTTTATTTATCATATTTGAACATTGATGTATATGGTTGATAATTAATACAGAAGCGCATTTGTTAAGAATGCATCCTTCTTGTACAGTACACAGACAACCAGAATGAAAATGACACTGCTGATACAGCATATCTGCATATTTAAGTCAAATGACAGTCAATTTAGGTGCATAAAGTCACAGAAATGACAGTTCATTCTCCGTCTCCATCAGAACTGTTCGCCTCTGCTCGTTTGGGATGTGAGCTGCCCGCTGAACTCAAGTGCTTGTCAAAGTCCTCTTCACTGATCTTACCTTTCTTGAGTTTCTTCAGCAGACGCGTGTCATTTAAAAGCTCGTTTAAGTCTTCTTCGTCAACATCTGACTCCTGTGACCACACAGATATAGCATTGAGACTTTATAGAATAGCCCATTCGCCACATTTACAGCTGTTTACAGAGTTTTCTATTGTTATACATGTACCTTCTATATTCAGTAAAAATATGCAAACAGGGAGTTTTTGGATTTTAAAGGAATAGTTCTCCCAAAACGATTCTGAAAATGTACTCACCCTCAGACCATCCAAGAAGTTTGTTTCTATATGAGATTTGGAGAAATGTAGCATTGCATCACTTGCTCACCAATGGATCCTCTGCAGTGAATGGGTGCCGTCAGAATGAGAGTCCAAACAGCTGATAAAAACATCACAATAATCCACAAGTAACCCACACCACTCCAGTCCATCTTGTGAAGCCAAACAAATCAAAATAAATCCTCCATTAAGTCATTTTTAACTTCAAACTATTGTTTCTGGCCAAAAGACCTCTATCCATAATATTGCTTTTAACAGTAAAAAAGTCATCTGGCCTGAATCAGGAGAGAAATCTGCACAGATCAAGAACTGTTAACAAGCCAAAGCAGTTCTAAACAAATATGTGGGGGGATTTTGATGTGAGAGGACAACAGGAGATGGAGGAAGCATTATTATGGACTCATATTTTGGCCAGAAGTGACAGTTTAAAGTTAAAGATGACTTAATGATGGATTTGTTTCTTACAAACACGCAGCTTTTCACTTCACAAGACATTAACTGATGGACTGGAGTGGTGTGGGTTACTTGTGGATTATTGTGATGTTTTTATCAGCTCTCATTCTGACGGCACCCATTCACTGCAGAGGATCCATTGGTAAGCAAGTGATGCAATGCTACATTTCTCCAAATCTGATGAAGAAACAAACTCATCGTCATCTTGGATGGACTGAGAGTGAGAACATTTTGAGCAAATGTTCATTTTTTTGGGTGAACTATTTCTTTAACGCAAACAAATGAGTAACATACCTCATCCAATTTTCTTTTGGCAGCCTTCTTTTTCTTTTTATCCTTCTTGTTCTTCTGCTTCGACCAGGCTTTGTTCTTGATGAAGTTCCTCTTTAATGGCATCTCTTTTTCTTTCAGCTCCGCCAGCCTTTTTTGTCTCAGTTTTTCCCTGTTTTTATCTTTAAAGCGGATGGTGTCTGTGTCGATGGCCTCCTGTTTGAAGTCCGGGAAGGTCTTTCCTCTCAGTTCAGGCATTTTGGGCAAACGGAGGAGAGCAAAGCCACGGGCCAGAGCAGCAAAATCCAGGTCTGGACAAGGTATATGTCAGGCGAATTATCTTGGTTAAGTATCTTATGAAAGGTTTAAAGCAATGTCACTCACCTTTAATGCGAAATATCAGACTACACTCGTGTTTGGCGTACGCCTGCACACACGACACAAAGGCTTTCATGCCTTTCTCAAACATGGCTCTGTCACCTAAAGCCATCGTCTTCAGTTTAGGTAGAACATCAACCACGTCTTTCACTGGAGGATACGTCTGAAGAGGACACTGTGGGAAAACACAACTACTTTACCATCTTAAACTCGAAAATATAGAATACGAAATATTGAGAATGCATTGATATTAGGCACTTAAATGCATGTCACTTTAAATGCATGTCTAATGCATGAATGTGATTTTTTTTTTAAGCCTAATTTCGTACCCTATTTATATAAGCTAGACACTCCATCTGATAGTTTGTGTATGAAATTAAGTTTCTCTCTGACTTACCTTTTGATTAATGGACAAGAAATTTACATAAGACTCTTCCATTGGCAGAAGAAAGACGAGTGCGTTGCCCTGGTTTCCGATTCGTGCAGTTCGTCCACACCGATGCACAAAGGAACTAATGGAAGGAGTATTAAATTTCATGAGAAAAATGAGCAATATATGCACAAAGCATGCAAATAGTATGTCACCTTTAAACAGTTTCATTTCAGAGTTCTTTTTTATACAATTATAGTATTTATTAATATTTTAATTAGCTTTTATTTTTTTATTTCCATTGTAACTTTAGTAATTGTTATGTGCTTGTCATTTCTTTAGTATTTCTATATAACTTGAATTTACTTTGATTTCAGTTTTAGTCATCTCACTTTAAACCTTTTTATTGCAATGTCAATTTTTTTACGAATATTCCTATTTTTATTTATTTGAGCTTTATTTAAATTACTGAACATTATTTTTTAATAGCTTTAGTTAACAATAACAACAATGCTTTGAAATGCATTGATTAAAACAAAGTGTTGATACTTAATTTAATAAATTTAATTTAAATTTAATAAAAGCAGTACATGACATTTGGCATTTTGTAACTATGTTTAAGAGCAGGTTTAAAATAAACTAGAGCTATATGCATATCTAATTTATTTTAATTAATTGTTTTATTTCCTCTATCTATATGTTGCCAGGGTTGAGAGTGACATTAAAATGTATATATTTTTTAAAAAGTATGTGTAATTATGTATATATATATTATATTAGTAATGTAGGGTTGGTGGAGTGTTTTTGTTTGTTGTTTTGTTAAAAGGGTTCTATTATGCTCTTTTACAAAGTCTTGATTTTGTTTTGGGGGTGTACTAGAACAGGCTCTCATACTAGATTGTTCGAAAAACATATTATTTTTCACATATTTTACATTATTACAACACCTCTCTCCCCAGTCTGGCATGAACGACTCGAATGAAAAAGCATAATAGGACCCCTTTAAGAAAAGCATTTTTAGGTTTCTATGAATTAGCATATACTATACTCTGTATGTACAATGCATATTTTATCAGCTTTTTTTTGGGCTGGAATCATGTTTTGTGTACTGTATCTAAACAAACCAATAAATAAATAAATATGCTGAAGTTTAATATTTAATGTTAGTGGTTTGTTCAATTCATTAGGTATGAGCAATATAGTGGTGCATGACAAACCACTGCATGACTCTACAAGCACTAATCAAAGCATAAAATAAATAATGTAATAAACTATTCCAAGCTTTTGTGAATGTAGCAAAGACTCAGAAGTACATACTTCTGAGCTCAAGCGTGTTCATGAATGTCCTGGTTACCTTGCACTGCTTGGTGGGTCGTACTGAAGCACCCAGTTCACTTCTGGGATGTCGATGCCTCTGGCCATGACGTCTGTGCACACGAGAATCCCACTGCACACATCCATAATGCATTTATTCTTGGTCTTTAACTTCCTCTCTGTAAACAGCTAGGAAGGCATCACACTACATTACCTCTTCAGCGCCCGGAAATCTGCAAAGATCTTGTTTCGTTTATGCTTCATCTTCCCGTGAATGCAGTGGATGCTGACATTCTTGATCAAGCCTTCCAGGGCTTTACCGAAGTACTCCACACAGGCACAGGTGCTGTGGATATACATAGAATATGATGATGTTAAGATGGCTGAACAATATTAATTACATTACATAAATTTGGAATAATTATGTTTTTGAAAGACGTCTCTTCTGCTCACTAAGGCTGCTTGTATTTGATAGAGTAAATACATAATTATGAGTATCTGATACAGCAATATTGTGAAATATTATTACAGTTCACAATAGCCGTTTTCTATTTGAATACATGTTAAAATGTAATTTATTCCTGTGATCAAAGCTGAATTTTCAGCATCATTACTCCAGTCTTCAGTGTCACATGATCCTTCAGAAATCATTCTAATATTCTGATTTGCTGCTCAAGAAACATTTCTCATTATTATCAATTTTAAAAATGCTTTTTGTGGAAGTTAAAAAGATAAAAGTATGGGGTACGTCACTCTTTGAAAAAAAAAAAAAAGAAGATACTTTTATTCAGCAACGATGCATTAAATTGACATTAAAAACATATTTCTTTTTCCAAAAAAAAGAAAAACTTTCTATTCATCAAGTATCTTCAAAGTATCAATGTATCACGGTTGTATCACTCAAATATTAAGCAGTAATAACGGTTTTCAACACTGATAATAATAAAAAATATTTCTTGAGCAGCAAATCAGCATATTAGAATGATTTCTGAAGGATCATGTGACACTGAAGACTGCATTTTACTGTATTTTGATCAAATAAATGCTGCTTTGGTGCACAGAAGAGACGACTTGTAATGTATGTGGCAAAATCAGTCTAACAAACCTGAAGAACACAAGCTGCTTCTCATGTTTGTGCTGCCTGAGAAACGCCACTAAAGTGTTGAACTTCTCCTCTGCTCGACATATCTGCACATAAGCAAATGTTAAGATAAATAATTGGGAATTAGTTCAGACAAGTATGGCCAACCCAACTTGTTCATAATGAGAAAGGAATGTGAATTAAAGGTATAAACGCAGTCAATACTTATTTCATGTCATAATTAACAGAGCAGTTACAATTTCTGAAATGCCCCATGAAAATGCATGCATGTACATTAGTGAATGAGTCCCTGCTGGTTACAGACAGCTCTAGATGACTCACTGCGTAATAATTGCTGAGTCTGGCTGGTGTTTTCTGCACGCTTGAGGCCGCCACACCTTTCTCCTTCACTGTGATTCGCACAGGGTTGCGCAGACCAGCCCTCACCAACTTCTCCAGCTCTTGCGTCTGTGTGGCAGAGAAAAGCCCCGTGCGCCGCTGCTTGGGTAAATAACCCAGAATAGTGTTTAAACTGCAGAGGCGAAGAAAAAAGCTGCATTAGCTGCATAATCTCAACTTTGGGGTCACACTTGTGATCCTGGTGGTCCTCTGCAGTGAATGGGTGCCGTCAGAATGAGAGTCCAAACAGCTGATAAAAACATCACAATAACCCACAAGTAACCCACACCACTCCAGTCCATCAGTTAATGTCTTGAGAAGTGAAAAGCTGCATGTTTCTAAGAAACAAATCCATCAAGACATTTTAACTTCATTACTCTAGCTAAAATGAAATAGAGTCTTCCATCCATAATATTGCATAATATTTTACATTGAAAATGTCATCTTGTCTGAATCAGGAGAGAAATCTGCACAGACCAAGCACTGTTTACAAGCCAAAACAGCTCTAAACAAATGTGTGGGTGAGTTCTGATGTGCGAGGAGAACAGAGGATGGACTTTTTTACTGGAGAATTATAGACTGGATATTTTAGCAGGAAGCAAAGTTAAAAACGCCTTAATGATGGATTTGTTTCTTACAAACCCACAGCTTTCACGTCACATGATGTTAATTGATGGACTGGAGTGGTGTGGATTATTGTGATGTTTTTATCAGCTGTTTGGACTCTCATTCTGACGGCACCCATTCGCTGCAGAGCATCCATTAGTGAGCAAGTGACGGAATGCTAAATTCCCCCAAATCTGTTCAAATGAAGAAACAAACTCATCTGCATCTTGGATGGCCTAAGAGTGAGTAAATTTTTAGCAAATTATCATTTTTGGGTGAACTTCCTTTTAATGTGCTATATTTTAGGTCAATAATATTTTTTTGTAATATTTTACACTTTGAGGGGATTTCATGATACCAAACATATATATATATATATATATATATATATTAATTAAACAAATATTAAAAACACTTTTTATAATATTTTTCAGTTAATGCAGCATTCAAATTAAAAACAGAGCAAATGTATTTGAAATCCAGTGAATGGAGGCAGATTAGTGCTATCTATACATATTGAATAATCTTGTAATACCATGGTATAACCACTAGATGCCTATAATATACAGAGAGAGAAAATTATTTTGTGTGTGAATATGCTAATTATACAGCATCTTATTAAAACACCCAATGCATATTATAACAAAAGTGATACAGACTCCAGAGAAAGTGTAGTTAAACTGCCAAGCAATGTAAAATTAAATGCTTATGTAATTTATTGCCTATTATTTTTAGTTGTTTTCTGGCAGTTTTTGACAGACTGACGATTTGAGATCATTACCTGGCTTCAAAGCCCATGTCCAGTAATCTGTCTGCCTCATCCAGGACAAGAACGTCCAGAGACTTCACAGCCGTGGCCAAATCAAGCCCATCGGCCTTCCTCCTGAACATATCCTCCAATCGCCCAGGGGTCGCAATTAGGATATTGGCTCTACGAACCGCACATAACATTGTATTTGCTTATTTTATTCCAGATTTAGATTGAGAAAAGAGCAGTCCATACACTCACCCCTGAGTCTTAAACTTCTCTACATCCTCAATAGGGTTGCTTCCACCAATCAAAAGAATCTGTCTAAAAACAGACACACATTGTTAGATTTACAAGCTAAGGACATCAGATGGAGTAGATGTTTTATTCTCACCTAAACTGAGGAAACCCCTGCAGAAATCGTCCCATCACCTCGCTGATCTGCAGTGCCAGCTCTCGGGTGGGTGTTATGATCAATGCACCGACCTGACAATACATCACAATAGAAATCAAAATGAATTACACTGATGCAACGCAAGCATCTGATGAAGAAGAAGACAGCGTTACTGAAATGTCAAATTCATCATCTAATACAGACCTGCATCTTTTTTAACTTCTCTTCTCGCTTTAGGAGAATTTCTAAAGCAGGAATCACAAATGCCAAGGTTTTCCCGCTGCCAGTCACCTGGAATCACATTAAATATTATGAATATTATTATTACTCACCCCTGAGTCTTAAACTTCTCTACATCCTCAATAGGGTTGCTTCCACCAATCAAAAGAATCTGTCTAAAAACAGACACACATTGTTAGATTTACAAGCTAAGGCCATCAGATGGAGTAGTTGTTTTATTCTCACCTAAACTGAGGAAACCCCTGCAGAAATCGTCCCATCACCTCGCTGATCTGCAGTGCCAGCTCTCGGGTGGGTGTTATGATCAATGCACCGACCTGACAATACATCACAATAGAAATCAAAATGAATTACACTGATGCAACGCAAGCATCTGATGAAGAAGAAGACAGCGTTACTGAAATGTCAAATTCATCATCTAATACAGACCTGCATCTTTTTTAACTTCTCTTCTCGCTTTAGGAGAATTTCTAACGCAGGAATCACAAATGCCAAGGTTTTCCCGCTGCCAGTCACCTGGAATCACATTAAATATTATGAATATTATTATTATTATTACAAAAGTTCGGAATAATTAAGATTTTTAAAAAAAATGTTTTTGAAGTAAGTCTTAAATAAGTTAATGACTTTTTTTAATGCAGCTTTATGCTCACCAAATCTGCATTAATTTAATCAAAAATACAGTAATATTTTAAAATTTTTAGCATCTCATTACTCCAGTCTTCATTGTCACATGATCATTCAGGAATCATTCTAATATCCTGATTTGGTGCTCAATTATTAATAATGGTTCTTTTTATTATCAACATTAAAAAGTACTGCAGCTTAATATTTTTGTGTAAATCGTGGTGCTTTTTTCTTTGATAAACAACATATTTAATCAACAGCATTTATTTGATATCTATTTTTGTAACAATATACATGTCTTTACTGTCATTTTTAATCAATTTAATGCATCCTTACTAGGGGTCGACCGATTATCGGTGCCGATATTAAGCATTTGTATGATTATCGGTATCGGTCATTTTCAAAACCGATTCGGCGATAAAATAACTTCATTTTGAAACGTGCTATTTGGCTCTGATGCAGCCTGTCAGAACTCACCACTCTGTGGCCTAAAGCAGTCTCCGCAATGGGAAACAAGCGACTGATACAAACGTTCCGCATGACAATCTGTAGGACTCCGGTCTTCCTCCGGGGGGCGTTTAGTGAGAGCTGAATCCATTGCATGGCATTCAAAACTCAGAATATTTGTCTTGTCTGGCACCTTTATGTAATATAAAGCTTAGTAGTTTAAATAAATTATCTATTTGTGTCTGACCTACAAACGGAAAACCGCCGCAGACTACGATTGAACCATCCTCATCAGCGCTGAGAAAAGTAACAGCTACCACGTGACAACGTCAACTTTATATTTCCGCAGCGGCCTCGCCAATTTATACATGACAAAATTATGTAAATAAAAAACAAATATCAAATACATCGCAGTTAGACTTACATTTTGCTGCGATTTTCCATGTTGTGCATCCAAATCTACACAAATAATAGAAAGGAGACATTTTAAGAACGTTTCATGTTTATTAAATCAAATCCATATTTGACATACATATTCGTTGAACTTCTGAGGTTTACCGTTTTATCATCAGTTCACCAGTAGTCTTAGCCAAACTATTTAGCATTTTCTTTAATGTAAGAATTTTAGACAACAAAAGTGGTACAAAACTACATAAAGTACTTCCTGTGTGAAGAGACTGGAGATAGAGATAGAAAAGAAATTGGGCCTACCCTGCCTAAACATTTAAAAAACACACCAGAAAATCTGCAAAAGTAACTAAGCAGTTATTCTGCCGCTTCACCAGCATCAGGTTTAAATATGTGCCATGGAGGTTGTTGTTGGCATAACTAAATGTGATAATGAGCAGTGAAAATGACATGAAATGTGACATTTCCTGACACTTATATCTGACTTCCCATTCGCTCAAAACATTGTTCATGTTATGGTTTAATTACATCATGCCATTTCCATACAATCCTAAACCATGTTCTTATATTGGGACAACACCACATCATCACCGTTACTTCATTCTCAGAGTAATGTGCAATCGTAACAGTTCTGGAGAAAAAACACCAAGCAAAAAAAAACAACAAAAAAAAAATATATATAAAGATGACTGTTCAAAATCAAGTCAGGCTAAAACAAACTCAATGAATTGATTCAAAATCGCACCCTTTACCAAAACAAATGATGAAGAGAACTACAACTGGGGCAAATAAAAACCAAAACACAGACTGGGTGGACTTGCGAACAACCAAGTTCTTCCCATCTCTGTTGAATTGGACATCCAATTCTTAAAACTGGTAAATCTTGGACTCGATGTGTTTATGTTGTGGAACACAGACAGGATTTTATACGACTCTCCGTACTTCAAAGAATCTCTTCAGGTAGTAAATCTGTCCGAGGGTCATGGCCACCAGCACCAGAGCCTCAAAGAAGGACCACAGCACCACCCTGCTGTTCGTGTTGTCATTGACTAGAGGACACAGACAAAATTATACAGCAAGTTTAAGAGACACAAGTTAAAAATAGATCAATCAATCAATAAATAAAACGGTAATAATTCAAAGTCAATTTAAATATGCATTTTAGCTGCTCCTCATGCCAAAATAAAAACTAATAAATAATTCCAATGTCCCTTTAAACACAAATATTTGTTCAATAAATAAATAAATACATAAATAAATGAACAAATGGCCATTTCAACAATTATATTTTTGCTGGGTTCACGTCATGTCAAACTAAAAAAGGAATATTTATAAAAAGAAGAAATAATAATTATCCATGCCATTATTCAATTATTCAGGTCATGTCAAAATGAAAACATAAAATAATTTACAGGTCATTTAAACATGCATATTATAGCTGGATTCATGTAGCATAAAAATGTAAATAATAATAATAATAATTCAAAGACTATTTAAACATACATTTAGCTGGGTTCATGTCAGGTCAAAATTACAATAATAATTTAAAGGGCATTTAAACATGCATATTTTTCCTGGGTTCAAAACCATGCAAAATAATGATTGCTTAAAAACAACAACAACTGTGGTCACGTGATTGGGGAGGATGTCTTACTTGCGCGGTGTATTCTCTCTCGGACCTCCATGTATTCCTGCTCATGTTTGACCGCCGTCATGGCAACCGCCAGCTCATTGATCATCTCCTCCAGCTTATTCTGATGAGCTAGAAATAAATTAATAGCAATTTACTCGTGATGACTGTATCAACGTGCATGCAGCATGCAAATACAACACCTCCAACTTTTACAAACAACAGTATAAAAGTTTGGTACCAACTGTGAACGCCTCATGTACACATGCAAGAGGTTACAGGTCATAAACGGCTGTTACATTAATACAAACCCTTATGTATAAAGCATAAACAATAAGTATCAGAATGGCCTACAGTTAAAAATCCAAAACAGGCAATGAGAACTTCAAATAAACCTCTTCTATGATAAAACACAACCATTCATGTTATATATATATCTCTTTAGGGTTCAACAGCAGTTTTTCGAGCTCATCAGGGAGTGAAAGGTTCAGCTCATTGGTCACACTGTTTTTATACACACAGGTGCAAATAGAAGTGCAGATGCTGTTAGATTTCAGTTTAAAACTCAACAGATGTTAAAATGATCTACTGTACAGTCTATTCCTACCATCCCAGCTGTCACCACCTCCTGAATAGGGAAAAAAGCCACATTAGAGGCAAAAAAACCCCCATGTTAAATCATAATTTCAGCACTGTATAAGTAAAAAAAAAAAAAAATTTGTGCTGTCAAACGATTAATCACATCCAAAAATACGTTTTTGTTTACATAATATATGCGTGTATATTTATTATGTATATATAAATACAAACACATTTATAATTTGTCTTAAATGTAATTTAGTAAAAAAAAAAAAATCATGAATCGAATCGTGAGCTGAGTGAATCATTACATCCCTATATATAATGTAAACAAAAACTTTGCGATTAATCGTTTGTAGGGCTGAAACGATTCCTCGAATACCTCGAGTAACTCGAATACAAAAAATCAGGCTTCGTTTAGTTCATTTACTGTAACTACACACGGAACACAGTGTTTCCCCACGGACCATTATTACTGATAAAGCAAAAATAACTATATTGTGATATATATTGTAGGGCTGAAACGATTCCTCGAATACCTCGAGTAACTCGAATACAAAAAAATCAGGCTTCGTTTAGTTCATTTACTGTAACTACACACGGAACACAGTGTTTCCACTTTGGCACAGACACGACCATTATTACTGACGCACAACCCGATAAACGCTGGACCATAGACTGTAAAAAAAGCGCTGGACATATTGAAATAAATCAATATGGTGGCTAGTTACGATATCCCTACGTTTGCTATGTTTTGTGAAAGACTAAGCGCCATTGTGCATAAAAACACCACAAAAAGAAAGAGTGCCAATTTTCACCTCTAAAATCAGCATGATTACAAATGCGATTTTATTCAACAGTTCAATAAACAAGAAGGTAATATTAAAAGACTTACGTTTTAGACACTATATTGCCTGATTTTGCCAAAAAATAAAATAAAATTCCAAACACAGCCACAGCGCTGTTTTGCGTCTCTGAGCAACATGACAGCGTTTCGTTTCTGAATGAATCAACCGTTTAAATGATTCGGTTCAATCGCAATGACTCACTCCTTAACAGTGCCTTGCTGCCACCTACTGGCGGTTTTAATTTCACATTTAAAGTATCTTTTCTTTTTAAAATAATTTTAAATATCAGTATTCAATGTTTTATGTTTAATATATCAAAACATTATTTATGCATTTGTAACTGCATAAATTGATTTTTGTATTTTTATTTATTTATTTAATTTTTTATTGATATATTTGTATTTGCATTTTGAATGTAATTTGGCAATTAAATGCATTAAATGGGTTTCGTTTTCACGGTTATTAATGTATGCAATTTCAGCAATAAAAATGTTAATTTTTCTAAAAAGAAAACAAATTAGTTGTTTATTTTAAGAGATCTATCTTATTATCTCTTGTATATTTAGTGTTGCTCTTTAATAAAGAAAAATTCTTATCCGATTACTCGATGGAATAATCAGTAGAATACTTGATTACTAAAATAATCGATAGCTACAGCCCTAATAGTTTGACAGCACTAATTAAAATTAATACTTAAATATATATATAAAAAAAGAGACTCATTTTAGAATTGAGATACAATTATAGCTTCCAATTATTTTGATTTAGTGAATTTTATTGTTGTATTTTTCATTTTCGTTAAAGTAATTTTTAAAAAAATATGTCTATATAGTTTTTGTTCATTTTCATGTCAGTTTTAGTAACTGATGAGCTGGAAATAACATAATTTACTCAATTATTATATCAACGCAAATATTTCTGCATATTCAGCATACAAATGCAACACCACCAATTTAATTACTTTTATAATTTTCACTTATTTTGAATTAGTTTTTATTTTTATATTTTCCATTTTTTATTTTAAACTTTTAGTAATTTTGTTAGTTTAATTATTTTTAATTCGTTTTTTATAAAATATAATTTGTTTTTAATTTTAGTTATTTTAGTTTGTGATATTACACTAAATAAAAATAGAAATAACTAGCTAAAATGAAAATGTTTTTTGATATTTGAGATTCAGTTACTTATTTTATTAAAAATTTTTGTGTGTTTTATTCAACTATAATAACCCTGATATAGGCCTATAGAAATCAATTTCAAGGCAACTGAAATATTTTAGAACTGGGCAGAAAACCTGACATTCATTATAGAAAGCTCCACAAATATTTTATTTTCCATGACTTTTCCAGTTGCCTGAAAGCTCCCAGGTTTTCCGTGACTGTGAGAACTCTGCCATATGGAGCAAAAGAGAGGACACTACGAGAAACAACCTTCCCAGAAACCCCTGCATCAGTTCAAGCGCTCACCCTCTGTCTCCATATCCTGTCCTTTGGGTGCCTCGCCGATGTCGATGGTGAACATCACAATCTTAGGGGTCATGGTGGACATCTTGTTGCTGAAGCAGAACTTGTAGATTCCGTCCATATGGGCGGCTACAGAATACTTGCCGCTGGACTCGCGGTCTCCTTTATAGATCTGCTTCCCATCTGGACCTGTTATCTGTTCAGGACAAACAATACATGAGGTACTGACAGGTGCTTACAACTTCACAAAAACCCACAAATAAACACTATTAAAGGGGTCATATGATGCGATTTCAAGTTTTCCTTTCTCTTTGGAGTGTTACAAGCTCTTGGTGCATAAAGAAGATCTGTAAAGTTGCAAAGACTAAAGTCTCAAATCCAAAGAGATATTCTTTATAAAAGTTAAGAGTCAGCGGTTGCCGTAAAATGAGGATGCTGTCAAAAAAAGTGTCAAATAGATTTTCTTTATCAATTAACTTCTATTAACTAAATTAAATCAACATTTGGTGTGAGCATCCTTTGCGTTTAAAGCAGCTTTGCTCAAGGAGCACTTGTGCAGAGTTTTTCAGGGAGCTTTGCAGGAAGGTTTCTTGAAGCATCTTGGAGACGTTGCCACAGTTCTTCTGGATTTAGTCTGTATCAGATTATTCTTTTGGAAATGTAAACTGATATTTCCTACCGACACACTACAACAAAAGATAGAAATAACTGACTTAAACCCATTTTTAGCTGCTGGAAATGCTAGTGTTCTAATCATTTTGGCCACCACTGTATATATGGCTCTTTAAGAACATCTAAAGTACTAAGCAAACTTTTAGATTACAAATGGTACCATTACCAAAAAAAAATCATGGTAATACCACAGTATTTGTGTTTAACAATCATCTGGTGGAAGCAAAGTAAGACCAAACAAAACCAGAGTACTTTTACTTTCACCTTGACCCTTCTAAAGGTTATCAATACACACCATGCCGTACGTTAAGACTGTACATAATCTAGTATGTAAGCATTAATAATCACTAACAGCCAGCAATTCACTTCCGGCTTCAACCACCAACCAGTGCGAGCAGACAGCGACACCTGCAAACTTCATACAGCGCCTGTTTATGGGCTATCGTTTATGATTAATGACATTTATTAATACAGTAAGTGTATTTTGATGCTCACCTCCACGTCGATGTCCAGAAATCCTCCCTCGGCGACCTCAAACATCAGGCCCATTTTGGTGCCCGAGTTCACGCGCTCATAGAAACACTCATCCGCGTGAGCGTCGATGCTCACAAAATAGCCGTTTGCCGTGTAAGACAGCGCGCCGAGGAGCACGACGAGTTCCGAGAACGTAAACATGTTTGGTGTGCTGTATTAATGGATGATAAAACCCATAAAAGAGACTTTACGCCACACTGGACCGATAAAGGCGGAGACTGCCAAGCGCTAGCTGCGCTACTGAGGATGCCACGTCAAGATTTAGACGAGTCGCCTGAAGGGACAAAAAGGCGACAACGACGGACGTAGTTCGCGTTTGCAAAAAACGAGCGGAACAGTTGACAGATTGGTCACCGAATTTATCGACTTGATTTATATTGACTTGAATTGTGTTTTTGTACGTACAGAAACTATTTATTTTATTATATTTATACAGAATTATTACGGTGCGATTTGGCTTTTTTTTGTTTTGTTAAAAAGAACACAAACAAAATACAACTCAGAGGAAAAGTTTATTTTTCTTTGATAATGGCGGTTAAAATGTATTTATTTATTTGAATCGAATGTAATATATTAATTTAATATTATTACAAATGTAGCCTATGTATTATATAGAGAGAATTGTTTATCCACAAAGGTAAAAAAAAATTGAAATATGTCACTACCTTCATTATTTTACAAGAAATAGCAAAACAAAAAGACTGTAAAATATTGCAAAGCCTTAAATCTATCCTTTAATTGATTCATATACCCTATTTGTATATTTTCTTTCTTTTTGCTCTCTGTTAATATTATTGCAGTATGTTTATCTCAGTATTTGATTTGCAATGATTGTTGTTTTTATGGTTGCGTGTTCAAAAATGTCAGGGGCAGTGATATGCTTTAGTGATATGCTTTAGTTTTTTTTAATAACAACATTTCTTATATTTATTCTGTTATATTCACTATGCAGACCGTTTTATGGTCGCACGTTAATTGATAGGCACTTGTACTTTTAGGTTTTTATGCTTAGTTACAGCGTTATCCGCCTAAAATAGCCTACACTTCTTACACATTCTTTACTTACTTTACTTTTAGTCATTTAGCAGACGCTTTTATCCAAAGCGATTCATGTTTTAATTTTAATATTTTTATATTTATATTTAATGTTTTAAAAAATGTACGTTATTTTATAATTCACTTTATTTCTATAAAATTGTATTTAACCTAAAATCATGATAATGACCAAAAAATAAAAAAATAAAATTTAAATCGAAACATTGTTTTTGTTCTGCTGTTCTTGTGTTCCGCCTCTAGAGGGCGCGTCAGTGCGGCGCTTCGCGCGCTGTGTGTCGCAGCTTTGGTGACGTTTTTCCAATCGACTCCAGAAAACTCTCCGCCGCCGCGGCCTAGCGCTCCCGGTCCCTCTTTCCCGTTATTTTATTCACTCATGTCCGTCTGTCCGAACCCAAACCGAGCGGGACCCGCTGCCTTATGAGGCGCTGAACACGGGACTGTCGATTTAAACGGAGTTTTTACCCGGAAAGCGAGTGAAATAACAGTAAACAGAGAGTGAGGGAGCGATGACATCCCGAAGGTGAGAAACAAGCAAAAACAAACCTGATATTCTGTCCATTTCTCATTTATTTTACATATCTTATCACTTTCGGGCATCCTATTTTCAGGATAAATCAAACAAATGTTTGTTTTAAGTGTGTAAAATGCGAAACGAACGTGTTTAATTTTAAATATCAGGCAGTTTAAAGATTTAAACCCAACGGCGAGATTGGACATGTTTGAGTGTGAAAGAGTCTGTCTGATGAGCAATTAACTGATGTTAGGACATTGAAAGTCTGTTTAATGATCATGTTTCATATCTGCTGATGATGATTGACGGGTCATATTGTAGATTTGACCACAGATAGGGATGATCAAAAGGAAAATGACACTGTGTTGAAGAATGACATGACAGCAGTGTGGTGTGAATTTGAGTTTAGTTTTCTTATTGTAAGTTAGTTATTGCGGTCAGCTTGTGTTAATATTGTTTTCATGTAATCTGCATTATAGATAAAGAAAAGATGAATAAATGCCTGCATAATTCATCATATAAGCAAAACAAAAGACGCATTTAAAACTGGCTTAATGTCATAGCATTAGAAACAAACTGTTAAAGCAAGCTTTACTTTTCAAAACATTTGACAAAATGTTATGATTTATGTAGCATTTGTGACACGCATATTGCAATCATTTTGGTGTCACTGTATATATACATATTGTACACATTCACAAAATTTTGATTCAATAATGTCTAGGGTTATTATAGATCATTATAACTAAACTTTGTTCGTTGAACTAAAATAAATGTTAGCTGAAATAAAATAAAACATAAAATACTTTATTTCAGCTAGTTGCCCAGGCAACATTTCTTATTTTAATTTAGTTTCACTTGATGTATTAAAATAACTAAAACTAAAACTGGAATAAGAATTAATTAAAAAAAAAACTATTAAGGCATTTAAAAAATAAAAATACAACAAAATTACTAAAATTGTAACTAAAATTACAATAAAAACAGAAAATATAAAAATTTATTCAAAATATTATTACCAAATATTATTACTAAAATGACAAAAGCACAACAGAATTACTAAAACTGTAACTAAAATAAAAATAAAAAAATTTAATAAATTCAAAATATTATTAAAAACATACAAACAACAAAATTAGTAACAAAATTACTAACAGATCTCTCCATATTTGATGTGCTAAAATGATTTTATTTTTGAGCTGCATCTCTGGCTTTTGATTCTGAATGATATTTTTTTCATATGATGGTTTTTTATATTTACTAAAATTAAGCAAGCTTTACTTTTCAAAACATTTGACAAAATTTTATGATTTATGTAGCATTTGTGACGCATATTGCAATCATTTTGGTGTCACTGTATATATACATATTGTACACATTCACAAAATTTTGATTCAATAATGTCTAGGGTTATTATAGATCATTATAACTAAACTTTGTTCGTTGAACTAAAATAAATGTTAGCTGAAATAAAATAAAACATAAAATACTTTATTTCAGCTAGTTGCCCAGGCAACATTTCTTATTTTAATTTAGTTTCACTTGATGTATTAAAATAACTAAAACTAAAACTGGAATAAGAATTAATAAAAAAAAAACTATTAAGGCATTTAAAAAATAAAAATACAACAAAATTACTAAAATTGTAACTAAAATTACAATAAAAACAGAAAATATAAAAATTAATTCAAAATATTATTACCAAATATTATTACTAAAATGACAAAAGCACAACAGAATTACTAAAACTGTAACTAAAATAAAAATAAAAAAATTTAATAAATTCAAAATATTATTAAAAACATACAAACAACAAAATTAGTAACAAAATTACTAACAGATCTCTCCATATTTGATGTGCTAAAATGATTTTATTTTTGAGCTGCATCTCTGGCTTTTGATTCTGAATGATATTTTTTTCATATGATGGTTTTTTATATTTACTAAAATTTCTGCAGATATTTTCATGTCTACTGCTGTATTGCTTGTTGTCTAAAGTGTTCATGCCCACAATCAGTATTTCATGTGTTGACTGTGTTGTGTTTGTGTCTGTAGGTGGTTCCACCCCAACATCACTGGAGTGGAGGCGGAGAACCTTCTCCTCACTCGTGGTGTGGACGGCAGTTTCTTGGCCCGTCCCAGCAAAAGCAACCCTGGAGACTTTACGCTCTCTGTCAGGTGAGAGATGTTGGATAAATCGGGATTTAGACTGGGAATAAGTGTTAATTGAAAATATTATGTATTATGCAATTGACTGCACTGTAAAATATCCTGCTAAATTGAAAAGGTAAAAAGTATGGATTAGGGATATGCCGGTATCAAATTCTCATGTTGCGATTAATTGCTAATGCTTTTATCACGGTATTCGGTATTATCACGGTATTGAAATTTTGTTTTAAAAAAAGTGCTGTCATAATACAGTATAACAGGTTTAATAGCTAAACAAAACTCTCTCTCTCAGTTGCATTATCATCAACATACAGCGAATTACACAAAACACTTATTACAACTAACAGTAAACAAATATATACAGATCTCATGCCTTTTCGGGGGGTGTTTAATAAACTGACAAACTTTAAATCCGAAGAACTGGGTGCTTTCATTACCCATATAACATTAGCTCCGACGTAGACTAGAAAACCCGTCAAAATAAGAGTCCCACCTTAGTAAAGGAGATCTCATACATATTTAAACTTACAAAAAATATTAAAATGTATACAAAAACAAATTAGAAGATTAATCATAATAAAGTCTGTTACAATGAAGAAGGATTAATATGCATTTAAATTATACAGTGAAGTGTTATTTTACATTTGTTTACTTTATTTCTGTACCTGAAAACTGTTAAACCTACCTAGAAAGCACTGTTTATTTAATATGTATCTTTATTCTGTTGTATTTATGTAGGCCTGCTGAATGTTAAATGGATCCAATCCATGTTCATTAGAAATTATTTGATGATGCAGCAATAAAACTGCTAGTATAATTTAATGCAGGTGTTTTTGAACTTTTTTGATAATATTTATCATTAGTCTTCTCCACTAGATGTCACTCTTATTTACCTTGTGCGATGTTACAACAGAAATCCTGTCATTCATTTCAAAAAAATCGAGAATCGAATCGAGAGCTTTCGAATCGAAATCGAATCGAATCGGGACATCTGAATCGATACCCAGCCCTACGGCGCATCCCTAGTAAAAAGTTTTAAAAAGGGCAGAAATTCGTCGTAAAATACTGACAGTGTTTCCGGTTTTATATTATGTGCCTGTATATTTTACAACTGTATTTCTTTAAGTGATATAATGTTAATATACCTCTCTACTTGAACTACAAACTAAACTTTTTACCTTAAAAAGTACTGATATCCATCATAAAATGACAGTACTGTGTGTTAATGTCAGTGTTTATGACACTTGGTAGCTAGCTATTCACGTCTAAGCGTTTCTCTTCACGAGACACTTTTGTGTATTGAATTCATCAAGTGTTTGAACCCCTTAAATTAAAACCCTTTAAAACTTTTTAACGTTGATTACTCAGTACTAAAGTCATGGAAGGAGGGCATCCACCGGCAGAACATCTGACATCTGGCAACCGCAAGCATGAAAGCTTGTGGAGGCTTGTTACAAATTCAAGATAAGGAAAATATCAAATGAAAATTAAAAGTTTTCACGATTAATAACCAGTGGACAAATATACATTTATTGTGCAGCCCTTCTATAAATTATATAGCAATTCATAATTTTTACTTGCAAAACCATCATT